CCAGTCTCGTGGCTTCCGAAGGAACTCGGCTTTCACCAAGAGGCGTCATAAATCTTCTAAATGAAGACATTCTGGCTCCCAAGGCAGGATTAAATGGTTTGAATAATTTTTTTCTGGTTGGCGTTTTTTCAGGGAGTTCAGTTCCTACTGGATGAGGACGCTAACTCTATACTCAACCCTTGTCCTTTATCCGAGCTTGAGATCGGCAGTAGCCTCAGAGGGGCTCCAGGCGGAGTTACCTTGACTTCAACATATTTTCTAAATATAGTTTACATAATGAACTAACTTCAAGTATAAAATTATGGAGCACTAGGGAGCATCACCGTTCGGATATTAGACTTCCAAGAAATGTGAACCCATAATCTTGTCTGGTATAGAATAAAGAAATCCAGCGATGACTGCGTTACCTTTATAGATCTATGAACTAACATTGAACGGTTAAAATATCCAAATTTATTCAATTTACATTTCACAATCCTAATCTATTGATAACACTTCTTACACTTTTGACATCATCAAACGTGTAACTGGAGTAAAATAAATTGACTTAATCAAACCCAATCTCAATATTATAATGATAAAAATCGGAAGTTTGAATTTCTTATTGTTGGATTACGCTACAGAAATGGATTTAAGTGAAGCGGCTTTTGTTTCATAGAATGTTAATTGTTTCTTTCAAACTATGTTATTCATCAAAGATGGATAGTGGTTAGCAGTGGGATACAGGACGCGCGTTTCGTCTTATTTGGGACTCGTCAGCTGAATTTCCCTGCATCCCAGAGTTGGTGTTCACTCTGGGACTCGAACTCAGTACCGTTTGCTTCAAACGCCATCGCATTATCCACTTAGTTACTGGGTCTTGATAGGCACTTGCTTGTGCTATGGGGTGAATTTCGAAATCACTTGCTTATAACTCTTGTGACTTAAGGCAATATGCACGGTATGCACATATGCCAATAAGAAACAGGTCAATTGGAGTCCTAAACATCAATGCAAAGATCGTTCATCTTGTTAATTTATCTATGACTATGATTTATTTCAACATTTAACCTGATAAAGGGTTAGGATTTCTTCAAAGATATACTGTAGTAAATGAAAACATAAGTGGGAACAATTAGATGTATTTGAACACAATGTTACAGAACATCTTAGGAAAATCTGTGAATCATACAATGATAGTTCATTTACAAAATGTCAAAGAATTGACTCAGAATTCATTGTTCTTTCGTTTCCACACCAATTATTCTATATTCTCGTTCTCGTTTCTTTGATCTTCTTAACCTTCTGCCTCCTGGCATTTCACTTTCGTTTAATGATACATACTACTTATATCTATCGATATCAGTAGAACATACCACACTCGTCCCCCCTTTTAAAGCAGTCATTCTTGCGGTGTTTCTGCTCACTGTGTCACTTTCTTCTTCTCTACAGTCTGTGCCTTTCTCTCCTTCATTTTTAAAAAGGTATTTATACGTATGAAACGAATTTAACTGTAAACAATCTTCCAATATGACTTAATGACCGTTTACATGTATCATTCAAAAGATTGTTTTATTACAGCAGAACTACAAGTAAATTTCATGAACAGGAAACCTTTTTGCGTATTCGCAAATGACAAACTTTGCTGTTTCACATCCTCTATATACATTTATAATTTCATTAGCTTCTGTAGAACAAGGTTTATAATAACATAGTTAATGTTCACTTTCAATATGAATAGAAGAACATATTCTAGTATTTCATACAATTAGATCCATTGATAACTTTGAATAAAGTAAAAACAACTAAGTTTTCATAACAGAATGAATTCATCAGTCTGTTTGACATATATCAGTATAGGGGTTGTGGAGATTGTCAAGTTTTGATTGAGATCATGAACCGATCGATGGTAGACCACCATTGGAAACCTGGAAGCATTGGACGGCCGTTTCGTCCCATTGCGAGACTCCTCAGTAGTTCGCATCCACAATCCCGCTCTCCGCGATATTCGAACCCAGGGCCTTCAGTCTGGCGCGCGAAAGCTTAACCTACTGGACCACTGAGCCTGCATCCAATGGTGTTAATGTCTAACGTCAACTAATCCATGAAATTGCGCAACTATCTTTCATTGTACTGAGGTAGGCACCTGTTTCTACCCGACACGGATTAGCTCCACTAGTCGCGGCTTCTGACTAGAACTCCGAGAATTTCACATATAACCTAAAACTACAATTATTAACAAATGTCTAACATCATTCATCTAGTAACCTTCATTTTTTTAAATCCCCTCTCTAACCTTTTTATTTTATCAGTATATGGTTGTGGAGATTATTAAGTTTTGATTAAGATCATAAATCAATCAATTTTGAATCACCATTGAAATCCTAGAAGCCCTGGATGACTGTTTCATTTTAGTATGGGACTCATCAGTAGTACGCATTCATGATCCCACACTTAGGATTCGAACCCAATACCTTCGATCTTGTTTTCTTTTTTCGTCTTCTGTTACTTATCACTTACGTAATCTTATTGTTCATATATGTGTTTGTTTTATCATGTTGAGTGTTTTACTAAATCAATTATCAATTTGACTACCCTTACATAATCTCTTTTATCTTGATTATAAATCATAGTAACTACATTCCAACCGTTTACCTAAACTTCACTAAGTAAATTGTACTAAATGGTGAAGATTTGTAGCTCAGGTGGATGATTTTGATGGAGTTTTATTCTCTGAGCTGGATGATTTCATCGTGGAGCCTCCATAGACGAATGAATTCATTTTATTCTGCAAACTTTGTTCTTCTCGTTCTGTTTAAGTATTCCATTATGATATTATGAAGATGACAGGGAGATAGTTCTAGCTTTGAATAATTAATCCACTGTTCTATATGTTAATTTTAAAGTGTTTATCGAAGATTTCTTCATATTCGACTGTTTAAATCAATAGAAATCACTTGCTATCCATGAGATGAGTTCTGAACTTTATGCAAATGAAATATATCTTATTTTCATTCACCATAGATTTATCTCATTGAGGATAACATTAATAATCAGAGAACACTGGAAAGCTGTTTCCTTCTCGTACGAAACCTTTCAGTAGTGTGTATTCATAGGAACTGAAGTTGTTGGGTTCGATCATTATGAGGTTATGAGTTCAAATCGTTGAACGGTCATATACTAAGATGAAATAGATATCCGTTGTTCCTAGGCTTTTAATGGTATCACATGACTGCGAATCATTCACAATGCCTTAAATTCAATTACTATTTATCTTTCCCTAGATCCTAAATTTTAAAATTGCCTTATAGCCTTCTATCCTACGAATTCATGGTTTCTTCTTGAGTTATATCCCCTATGGTAAATGTTTTTTCTACAATCAATAATACTATTATTACTTCTACAACTCTAAGATTTGTCTGGATCTCAAACTTGAACTGATACATATAAATGCCAACTCCTACAGTATATATGACGTTTTGACTCAATATTACACTAAATGATATCAATTTGTCACAAATATAGCCTGAGAAATAATAAATAAACTAAAAGAACCTTTACAAGATCCCTTCAACGAAAATATTGATACAATTTCTTATGTAATTTCATAGATGAGTTATTGTCACAAATGAGTCAGTCAGTTAGCTACAACGTAGGATCAGGCACATATATACATCGGTCCAAGTTGTCATACCTCATTAGCACAACAAGATGAACACCAAATTCATAGAAGTAGTGAATTCAACGGTGATAATATGTAAAAGAAAAATTGCATATAAAGACATAGTACAGGAAGAAAGAATTAGTTCGTAGAATGGAAGATATGAAGCGATTTTAATCTCTTAGTTTAAGGGAAGACAGAGATTGTATACACCGACGCTATTGTGATCGATTCTGAGTCACATCACCAAGAGTCTCCAACCATTGGTTATGACGGTCACGCTGACCCCAACCAAGTAGTCTGCATCTACCAACATAGCTAAGACTAGAAGTTAATGACTTCAAGGACTGATGTTACGTTTTTGTCTGACCGCCCCTAACTTTCTTCCAACCATCCCCAACACTAATCAGCATTGCACGCCGTGGTAATCGGTATTTAATTACAATCCACCAATTCTATGGATCATAAATTAGTATTAAGCTTTTAATGAATTAAAGATTTTTTTAGAAACAACATCAAATTCCTTGATTATATTATGATCTCTAATTTTGATTACGACGATGATCAGAGTGATAATGAAAAGTCAAACAATCTATACAGACAATTCTCATATTCATTCAAAAGATACAATAAGATTTTTCGATCAAAAGTATACAATTTAAACAAACATTTTCATCATTATTATAAATGACTATTCAAGTTTACACATTAAAATATGATTAATGTTAAAGTGTATGTGTATGTGTACATGAAAAGATTCTACTATATGAGAGGGAAACTTGGAAAACTATGAAAACCATCATCTAGAAGGTACAAGTGTTTATTAACAATCGTCTAGGCAAAAAAATACTTCGTATCCGTTGGCCAGATACTATCATCAACAACCTACTATGGGAGAGAATAAACCGAATCTCAGAGGAGGAAGAAATCAGGAAGAAACGCCGGAATTGGATAGAAAAAACATTGAGGAAAGCACCCAAGTGCATCACAAGGCAAACCCTCACATGGAATCCTCAAGGTCAAAGGAAAAGAGCAAGATTAAAGAACACATTATACCAAGAAATGGAGATTGACATGAGAAGAATGAACAACAATTGGATAGAACTATAAAGGAATGCCGAGGACACAGTGCGTTGGAAAATACTCGTCGGCAGCCTATTGCTCCATTGAGATTAACAGACCTAAGTACGTAAGTAAGTAACATGAAAAGAAATAGAAAGATTATTCACTTTACACAAAATTGTTGTCAAATTTTCTTGTATTATGTGTTCCCATATGATATATATTGGACATTGGGTAAATCGTTGAATATTGATTATGTTACTTTCTTCCCCCATCCCCACCCAATTTTTTCTTTAAATTAAAGATATTCAAGTGCTTGTGGACATGTTAATAATTCTCTTAATAATCTCCATGCTTGTTTTGCTGTAATATCCATTCCTAATGTAGAATATCCTCGAAATATATCTAAATTTGGTAAAAAATAATGTGGACATCGACGATGTTGTAAACATGATATTAATTGTAATAATATACTATTAATACGATCACCTAATGTATATTGTGTCCAATCATCATCATTTGGATGTTTTTCACATTCATGTAAAACAAGTGTTTTAATATCATATTCTTGAATTACTGAATTCATCATGTTCATTGTTGACGATGATATTGATGATGATGCGGTTGATGAGGTTGATTTAAGATCTTTAAAATTGATCTCTTTATTATTAACACCAGTTAAATGTCGATCAGCTAATGTTTTTAATATACTAAAACATTGTCTACGTATTGTATGATTTAATAATAAACGTTCTTCAGCATGATAAAAATCTAATAACCATGCATCTCCTTCAGCGGATGCTTGTTTATCTTTTGTATATACGGATTCTTGACTTAATAAACAAAATCCTTCATATTTCACTTCATTAATTAATTGATTCGATGGCCATTTAATTCTATTAAGAGTAGGAGTAGTAGTAGTAGTATTTGTTAATTCTATATTCAATTCATTATGAATAGGATTATGATTAGTTATAGGCCAATGACTAGCTGATCTAGGCCATAAACCATTACAACGAAATGCTGGAGTAATTTGTAATATATATTTATCATGTATACATAATTTCACTTCACTTGTATGCCCTAACATACGTACAATATGACGATAAGTTGATTTTTGTATTGCTTGTCCAATTAAACTATGAAATCTTGCACGTATTTTTCTAGCTGATAAATATCCAGATGCTGTAATAAATTCAACCCATAATGACATTGAACGTTTACGACCATCGGATAATTTTAATACAGCACCACCAGGTATACTACCATCATCCATAAAATTAAATACACCCATTTGATTTAAATAAAGTGTTATCTCAAAACGATTTGATGATAGAACACGTAAACCATCATAATAAACTTCATTTTGTGAATTATTATTATTATTATTACTACTATTCATGGGATTCGTTGTAACAGTAGTAGTACTAGTACTAGTACTAGTAGTACTCGTTGTATTCAGACTATTGATTACATTCGAAGTAGTATCCGGGGAAGTATTATCATCATCATTATCTTGTTTCTTTTCTATATTATTCGTATGAATCACTTTTAATGTACTAACAAAACGTGGTTCTTGTAATTCAACTTCATGTAAAATCTCTTGAGCTATTTGTACAATTTCATGTAATGTTTTTGCTATTGTAATACGTCTTGTTTCAACACGTTTTATATAAAATAAATGTAAATAATGATAAATTGGATTAGGTATAGCTGATAATTGACGAAATAATTTTGGTTGTGGATGAATTATCTGATGTGAATATTGATGTTCATAATGATCATGATGATGATGTTGATGATGAAGATGATGAAGATGTTGAGGCAATTCATCATATTCAGTAGAATGATATTTTTTCAATAATCCATTCTCTTCATCATTATGATTTGAATCTTCAATAGTGTTTTTATGATGATTATTATTATTTCTATACATTAATCTATGTGTATAAATGGTTGGTAACAGATCCATGAGTTGTTGTTGTTGTTATCGTTACTAATGAACTGATCTATTCTACCATGTATGAAATGTCTTTCCACGTAAAGAAATCTCTTTTTTAAAAAGAAAAAAAAGTATTTATCCAATAGCTAAGATGTTCACAATTGAATACAATAAGAAACAGTTGTTCTTCACTACAATCCATACATAAACCCCCCACACACACACCCAAACACACATTCACATATCCATACTATCTCAGTATGTTCAATGATATTCTCTAATCGTTTAGATATGTATATTGTTTAGGACATTTAATTATGATGAAATATGTATATTATATATACAATGAATAGAATAAATACATTCAGTACACTAAGTCATTCATTCATTCGTTTGTATGAGTTTAATGCCTTTTTCTTCTTTCTTCTAGAAATATCATTGATTTATGAGTATTGAATGTTTGAGAATGATTGCTGAAAACAAAATGATGATTGTAACTAATACACTACTTGTCTTTAGTTGTTATTAGTAGTATGAATATTAGTAGTAAAGTTGATAATGATCTATTCCCAATTTTAATTATTGATATATAACAATAAATCTTCACATTATAATCATATATCTATCCATCTCGACAAACATGTTGTTTATTGTAAAGAAAAAGGAACAATAATGATTTATGTATTATGTTTAGTACTAGAAACAATGGGAATATTGAACATGTTTGAATGGATATTACATATATATACATTCTCTCTCTCTCTCTCGAATGTATACATGTTCATCCTTCCGTCCTATTACTATTACTGCCCATTGTATGCAATTACTTAAAGTAGGTTTCACTCCGTTGTGTGTGTGTATGTATGTGTGTTGTGTATGTATGTTTTGAATACTCTTTTCTATTTACAATGTTTCCCCCCTTTTTCTCGTTAAAATAATTGAAAATTATCTCAGCATTAATAATAAGTTATTCATAATATGCTTACCAATAATAAATGTATTGATTTTTCCCCTTTTTTTAAAATGCGATCCAATCAGATTTATTTATATAAAAATGAGAATGAAACATTTCGACCAATCAGATGATTTCAAAGTTGCCAGAATGGTTTACTTAATTGAACTTAATTGAACAACAAAAGTCATGTTTTGTGATTTTTTTCTCTCACATTAATCATGAATAAATAAATAAATAAATAATATGTGATCCAACTATTATGGAATTTCAACAGTTGAGATCATGAGTCAATTGAAGTTAGACCACCATCATGGAATACCTGCATGTACTGGATGACCGTTTCGTCCTATTGTCGGATTCTTCAGCAGTGCATATCCACGATCCTGCATCACAACATTCGAACACACGACCTACCAGACTCGTGCATGAGCTCTTAACCACTAGACTAATGAGCCAACCGTCATCCAACGGTGTTAATATCTAACTTTAAATAACCCACTAAATTTGAGCGACATATTCACTATTGTCATCAGTGAGTTCATATCTCACAACTGACCCATTTGAACTCCAATGGTCACTGCTCACCAGAACTCCAGGATATACCTCATTGAAGCCAGTCACTAGTGACCATATGTTGATTAATATCAGAAGGGGTTTTGTGGAGATTGTAGTAATTTCATTAGTTTTGATACAGGAACTCACTGATGACAATGGTTGATGTGTCGCTCAATTTCGTGGATTAGTTGAAGTTAGACATTAACTCATGATCTCAACTGTTGAAATTACTACAATCTCTACAAAACCCCGTTTGATATTATGAAATCGTTTTTCTTTCAATCAAATGATTCTGTTTGTAGAAAGATTTTCAAACAGCCTAGTTATTATTAGTTCTAACTGGTGAAGTTCAGTCATATAGGTAATGTGATAGATATGACTAGTAAGATCCGATAATTATGGTAGAAATACGGTAAATTGATGAAAGCTGGAAGTGTAAACCATTATATCAGTTCAGTATTGTACTAGGTCGTTTATGAGCACTTAGCATTAGTCTTATGTTGTTATACAAAAGATGTTTATAATCCCTTTAGTACGTATATATACAAATTGAGATCAATTTGTAGTGAAATTTATCTTAACAGTACTGTATTTCATTAAGACAAATTGTTCAGTAAACTTACCATTCAACCAAACCTTTGTGACATAATCAAATCTAAGAGAAGTGATGAGTTTAATCAGGTGTTTAAATGATAGGCTTAGAAACAGATTATTATGGAACGGGTATATTTATTCCTTCAAACGAACACTGAAGTTAATTTTACTCTATGTTATGTTTACCTTTCATGTTATTATTTCCCCATTTTCTACTATACATTCTGTTGATTCGCTCCATCCTCTTTGTTGTACTAACAGATGATGATGTGACAATACGGTGAGATACACACAGTACGTTTTATGTAACTAACTTTGTTTAATATTGAATAAGAAGCATGCAACAAGATGAGCCTATCAAAAACTGTATTCTTGTTACAAATAAGAGCATATTTATACTTCTTCCTGATAATAGATAACATTTCTGACAATAATCTATCACCATATTTTACAAGATATTCTAGGTATGTGTTATAACTTGTCGTTTGAATACTTATTGTCTTGACTCTTTTTATGCTACATTTTGTATCTGGTCGTCGCTAATTGTTATGTCAGAAACGCTTATCACTTATACTTAAAACGAGGGACCTCTATAATTCCCACGACGCGAAAGTAAGAACATAAAGACTGGTATAAGTGATGGTTTATTAACCCCAAAACACAACGACGATAACGACAACACTAGTAGTACTTCGCGTTATAAGAAATCACACACTGAGTATAGTGTTTATGTCGATGGAATACAAGAATATTGCATGCTATACAGAATAAAATATCATACGAGAAAAGAAAACCGAATACTACATTGAAGTAATCATTCCATTAAATCAAAACGGAATTAACCTTGAACAAAACTCATAATGAGTAAATCAATCGAATATTGACTTTTTCCCATCATATCAGTATGATAAATACGGAGTAATTAATATGAGCTGATAAATCCATCAACTATAGATTAATATAAACAAAGTTAGATGGTAGTTAGCAGTGGATTCTAGGACGCGCGTTTCTTTCTTTTCGGGACTCGTCAGCTGGATATACCTGCATCCCAGAGTTGATGTCCACTCCAGAAATTGAGCCCAGTCCCAAATAAAACGAAACGCGTATCATGGATTCCACTAACCACCATCTATCTTTGCTTATAAAACTTGTGAATTATGGTAATATCGATGCAATACACATAGTATGCATATATACCGAAAAAAGATTGATCAATTGTGGTCTTAAACATCAATGGCAAGATACAAACAAACAATCATAAATGAATTTACAGATTAGTATTTTTATGTAAATCTAGAATTTAAGGAAGACCAAACTTCTGATATGTTAGTGAGTAATTTTCCTTCAGAGATCAAAATAATCGTTTTATGACATCAGAATTAACCTTCACGAACAGAAAAGTGTTTACCAGATCTATACAGAATAACATTTCCCACCCAGTTACCACTATATACATCTACCAGTTTATGTGTTTCTATCGAGTAAAGTACATAGGTTAAGACCAGTGTTCAGTTTTAACACGAAAATAAGAATATACTGCAGTATAGTATTACAAAGGTATTAGTTAAGCGGTTAGGATTTCTGTCCTTTATTATTTAACCGACTCTAGTCAATAAGCTAAACCACATTTTGATTTTAATATTCATTACAGATTCCAACAGAATCTATTCAAATTTCTTTACATTCAACTGCTTGAAAAAACTGCATAAGCTCTTGTCATACATGAGAGGAATTCGGAAATTTGAGTACAAAATGAAGTATATCTTACTCTTACCCTTACTAAGAACTTAAACTACCATTACTGTTCATAAGAATAATATATTTGCAATATCCTAATGAGTAGAAAGACTAAATTTTCAAATTTAATTTATTTTAAAATGTAAGCTAGCTGATGGGATTTTCATTGAACGGGAATCGAGGAAGCACAGTTCGTCTTATAATCAAGTTCACTAACATTCGCTTCAAGAGCTATCGCGTTATCCACTTACCTACTGACAAGGTAGTACAAAACATTTTAAACTGAATTACATCTCATAACCGTTGTATAAGCGAATGGCTGTCTAGACCTAATAGGTAAGTGGATGTCGCTTGAAGCCAATGGTACTGGGTTCTGGTCCCGGAGTGCACATCAACTCTGAGATGCAGCTACATTCATATGACCAGTACTAAATAGGACGGAACCCGCGTCCTGAATTCCACTTCTGGACAAAATGCATCAGTAAAAGTATAATGTGCTAACGACCTTGGGAGGATCGTCACCCAATCAAGAAACGCCACCAAGTTATACGACAATTAACAACACAACGTAATGATATAACAGTGAAATAATAACTCTAATCGTATAATCAACTCTCATGTGTCAAACTATCCCTTGTAATAAAGAATAAAGAACAAGTGTACATGTATACATATGTGTTATGGGTCGAGCTAGTATTTTCAATTAAGTTTATCATCTCATAAAGTTTTCGTCACCAAATAACATCAGTTATAATGCGAAATGGTTTGGATTAGATATTCAGAGTTGAACTGGAGTTTTGAGTTAAGTTTACAAATTAGCATTAGGATTTTCAACATAAAGTGACATCAGCTACCTTACCATCTTCTTATTTACAAACTTGAGAAACTTAAGATTGAGATATAGAGTGAGAGTATGAAAGAGAAAACCTTATTTAGCTTCACTAAACACTTTTGATTATGCAATGAATGAGATTGTGTTTTAAAACACATTCTGCCTTAGGAGCATATATGTTATGTAATTTAGTTTAGGCTCCATTTTAAATCCACATGTCGATTGTATAAAAGTGATTTTCATTGATTGACAATTTTCACTTGGTTAGTGATAAAGTAGACGTTATCTATCACTGTAGCTTAAAATTCACTCAAAATGCCTTAGGAGTTATCTTAATTCTGATTGGTTAGCTAAAGT